GCAAAGCTACAGTGAAACGGTCCCAGCAGACGGAAAGTCTCAGGTTTGACCAGTTTGCGCAAAGAATCTAACAGTGAGGTAAATGTTACTGCGACGCGCACGCCCTTCTGGTTTACATACAATTACAGATTGCAAAATTTTGCCACCTGAATGACTGGCAAGTGTACATTGCATTGAATCTTCAAGCAAATAATCAATCCTGACAAACACCTCAAATTCAGAGGTCAAGAAAATGGACTCAATATCGTAACGATTCCGAAGAAAGGAAACCCAACGGTTGAAAAATTGCCACAGTATCATCTTGAGTTATCATCCCCATACGTTAATGTTGAACATTCTGTTTAGCATAATCATTCCATGCACAGAACTCCTAGCAAGCAAACCAGCTGGGTTTCCGGATGAAGCACAGTCGAAAACAATTTAACCTTGGTTGCTATGCGAGAAATTCCGGGACCACAATACATTGCTTCTTCCCTGTTTTGCCAACTTCTAGAGAAGATCTCCGACAGCATATGCCAAATTGAGCTTTCGCAGATCATCAGAAAACATTACTTTAGCGACTGAATTGTCAGCCGATTCGAATCTCTACATGAATATGTCAAATGTCAGAAACTCGTGGTGAATGGTTCGGAACAACGGTTGGTGTTTGATAGAACCGCTTGACTGAGAGAACCAAAACTATTCAACGTCTTTCTGGATGAAATTAATAAAGATGCTCTAAAAGCGTTTACTGCATCGGTGTCAACTGTTGACTCACTGAACAACATTAATCTTCTGTCGGAAACTGGAGATGAACTGTTAGATGTAATAAATTGCTAGATGATTAGAGCAGACTCATTTGCTATGCCAGTAAATACCGAAAAGACCAAAACGACGAGGAAGGGCAAAGAGGGGAACTGCCTGCTGATAACAAAGTGGATCGAAGAAATGATAAATTGCCTGACCAGCATGGCAGAAGATCATCTATGCTACTCACAGTAGGTTCCATGACTGCGCACTTAACCGATCCCATCGATCAGCGCCAGCATAACCTACAACCCATAAACAGTTAGAACAACAGAATTAGTAGGTGAATTCGAAGCACAAGGAAAGGTAACATGAAAATGGCTAAAACCGTCAAGGTTCTAAACACATGATGGCATCTATTATAGCTTTTGACCTCTCTCCATATGAGGATCTTCACTGACTAAACGTGGCAAATTCAGTGCGAATTAAAAGGAGAAAAATTACCTCGTGGGTAGAAATCTATGTGGGGTTATTAACGAAGAGAAGTCGCAAATCACATCCACTGAGCTGTTCATCACTTCACGGACGGAGAAGTCGCAATATCACGTCGTTGCGCGGTAAAGGAACCGTGTGATTTCTGGCAGGTCAACCTTTGGACCAGTTGGAAAATTTATCTTCGATATTGTAGTTAAGCGAAAGCGCTTCCGCTTCACACGCAGCTTTTGCCTCAAAACGTAGCAGACCCTATTTTTTTTGCCTTTCCACCGCGGTTAGCTGCAATCTTCTCAGAATAACGAAAATCATTAATGAGTTGCAGCCAGCGCGACCTCAAAAGATTTCCCGAGGGAAAAACCATGCTTCAAAAATGATTCCGGTCAAAGATAACAGGTTTAGTAATGCGGCGGACTTACATGTCAAAATAGAATAATTTAAACGATCACAGCGAGCACACTTAACGCGGTTGCATTTGTCATGGTAAGATGAAAAACCTTTAATATCCAGCTGGCTAACAGGCTCGCCGCTGAGACTGCGAGGATTGACGTCGAGGGGAAGAAGATTTAGGAACTGTCAGTTACGCTCTCCACTATGGGTCTGTCATCAAACCTGAGACAACTCAGCTAGCAGAATAAGGTTAAATGAGGTCGGTCCCTTGAGCGTCGCACTCACAATCGAAAAATCATGAGTTCGAAACTCAGTTGGAGTAACTCGCTTCTCATTATTCTGATGTACATATGATAAATGCCTATATCTGTGTAGAAGGGAAGCAGGAGAACTCATATTACAATAGCTACCGGACTCCAATGAAATGCCTTCAAAAAAGTGGAAATAAGCACCGCAGCGTAAGCTGCAAGAAAGTCGCAAAAATTACGTATAATGATGTAAATTATGTAAAATGAGATAATCATCGGTGCGTCTTATCATTGGGAGGTGTGAAATAAATCAGTTATACATGAGAACAGTATCTTAATAGCTACAGAATTTCTGGCGTTCTTTTAGTGAAGTCAATGGGGGG